TTTTTTTTTTTTTTTGGAAGTTTACAATCATCAATGGTTATTTTAAAAATATTTTAAACAATTTATTTTCCTCCCACTCTTTCTTTTAATTTTTTTTTTCAGCCATCATCCTAAATAGCGGCAAAAAAACGTTACTAGAGATGTAAATGACTCGAAAATGTTAAATTGATGACGTCACCTGTATATAATTAAAAGAAAACAGAACTGTGGTAACTTCAAAACCTTTCTGAAGCACATCAAAATAGAACTGGGCGTTGAAGAGCACCTTTAAGTTCACGTAGTTGAACATGAATTATCCTCAGCCACACCCACGATGACTGTAATTGCTCCATTCAGAATCCAGCAATCTAACATCGGTACGAAAATTCAAAGACTGTGATCGTCAACTTCAAGCTGTCCCATTTCTTCAGCAGTTGTCCACCTTATTCAAAATATTGACGCTGAAATAAGCCTAATGAAGTTCATAGAACTGTAAGAAAAACAGATTATGAATTAAGAGTCAAAAGAATAACATATTAAGCTCACTTATACTTATCTGAAAGTAGCTGCCAGAGGAAAAACAGCTTTCAGGTATCGTTAGAATTGATACGATGTAAGTGCATCATTTGCAGTGAAACTTCTATGTTCAATGGTTACGAAAGTCGCTCATCTTAAGACGATAGCTTATCACTCTATGGAACACTTGCATCTAGAAATTGAAAATTCGATAGAATGTATATCAGTGCCCTTATTGCACTGTGAAATTCTGATTCCATAGTGTAAATTGCAGAAGTTAACTTCTTTCCGAAATCTATGAGCGAACCTTTTGTAGACTGTTCTCAAGCACTTTAAGGTTCTCATGTTTTTACATATTATTATGACAATATCTCCGCAGTATATCAACAAGGTGGGTTTTTTTGAATCATTCAAACGAAGAGTTATTTTGGTACATGAAAAGTATAAAACCGTAATTATATTCTTAAAATTTTAACAAAAAATAAAGCAATCTAAATCCATGTTACGTTGATCTATTTCCCTCGCCACTTAACGTAAAAATTGATAATTTTTACTAAGTGTTTCACGGCTTAATCAAAAAATTTTCTTATAGTAAAAAGTGTACAGATACTACAAATCTTATACAGCACACTTCAGTAAGTTTTTTCTTCTATTTTTATGGTATTACAGAAATCTGAGAGCGTTGATAATTAAAACACTAAACTAGCATTCAAACCCATTGTATAGAACACCTAATGCCCACTTGTCAGTTTTGCTTTGCCCGAATTCCCACTGAGAGTTCTTTAAGCCGCGCACTTCGTCCCACAATTCTTTATTTCTGGAACGTTTTAAGACTAGATACTATTTTTGCTCTTGTCTAAGCTATGACACTTAAAGAACAAGGATTTTGCTATCAAAAGGCAGGCCGTCTAACACACTGTCTGCAAATTGTTGTCTTCTCCTACTTTAAATTTAGTACCGCCGATTAGGTTTCACATCCGTCAGAGTAAAACTTCCAGTTCAAAAAAAGTTTTTTCAGTGCACCCGACAGCAACTGACAACAATCTTTGTTGTTAAACCCGGAATGAATCGTTTAAATTTCACACAAAGTCAAATTTGAAAAATCTATAAAATATTCAAATAAAGCATGAACAGCTGCTTCATTGTTCCGCATCCAGTTTGTAAATTTCACCTGTATTTTTGTGCCGCATTTTATAAAGGCAGTAAAGACAGGTTAAAAGGCAAAAATCAAATCAGAGGGTATGAGAATTCTGTAAAAGCAACGCTTTAAAGTAAAACGAAGTAACGGCTCGATATTAAACTTCGTAACTTTCAATGTTTAATTCAGAACATTGTGCTATTGCTCCTTTCTTGATCACCTTAGACGTGCCACAAGCAACGAATAGATTTAGCCAACAACAAATAATTTTATTCTTGTTAGTGCTAAAGTTGGCAAAACAACTCCCCATCCGCTGCCAATACGTCCATGTCAAAGAATCACTTCCTCTTTTCCAATACCTACCGAACCTTAGGTTTCAGGTGAAACTCGAACTCCCCATGAGTTACCATTCTATCACTGAACTACTAACGGTCCTGCCCACCACTCTTTGTACTTCATTAGATACTTTAATTTCCTCACATTTTGAGTAGTGCTATATCTTTATTATAACAACGAAAAATACTCCTTCAGCAAAAACAAGAATATTTTAGGGCATTTTCAAGAAGCAAAGCCCACTACGGCATCAGGCATTCATTAAAAGAAATCCTCTGCAAGCAATGGCACTATGCACGAGGACGTAAAACGTAACTGGATAATAGAAATTTCCCAAAAGATTTCTTTTTTTAAATCAAACTCTTCTAGAGAATCTTCGACTTTCTGGAAAAAACGCGTCATTTGTGAAGAATCTCAGAACATACATAAAAAGGCAGAAAAGAAGAACAGTTATCACACTGTGGTAATTGTAAACAAAAATTGTACTGCATAAAACTAGTGGAGAACACCGAAAATGTAACAGCAAAATAAGGTCATACTATAAACAAATTATTTTAGTAAAAAGTTTAACACATAGGAAGGTGTAAGGAGAACAGGTGAAAGCAATTTTGATTCAAATTCACAGTCTTGAAATGCTCTGAACTTCCATATATTTGACTTCAACTCGTCCCCTGTCAGCAGGAGGAGAAGCAAACTTCCAGCAGATATTTATTACTGACTCTCATATAACAAAAAAAAAATCAGTCCATTCAATGTAATTGAAGATAACAACTCTTTGCAACGTTGCAGAAAACATTTTAACAAATAATACAAAAGTCTTTAAAATTTACTTGACTAAACTGGTCACTAAGTTATAAAAATGTCAGCCAAAAAAGCTAATGTAAAATTTATTTGAATGTTAATTTTTTAAAATTTTACCAAAAAAGCTGTCTGTTCATTCAGAACTCTGAAAACTTTGACAGTGTCTTGATCTCGCTCTTTGCTTTCTTATTTCCTTTTCAAGGTGTTAATACATCTTTGCTTTTTTTTCGTACTAAATCTGGGAGTCTTTCAATATTTATGGGGGAACTTTTGAACGACGTATGGGTAATTGTGAGTGCAACGTTTTAGCCACTATTTCTAAACACAGGTTTTACGGTCAGCTATCAAAAATAAGGACATGTTTCACTGGACTGAACTATCATCTATACAACTTTGAAAGAAGGACTAAAGTATGTTTCAAAAGAAAGAAAGAAGTGTTTCAGTAGACTTAATATTAACATTTATTTGTTATATGGATAAAAGTTTTTTACTTTTATTTTATTATTTTTTGCCCTTTTTGCTTATATTGGTCTTCAAAAACAACAACTAAGACAGGCAGACAGTACTCAACTGTATCAAACTACTAATCTATTCAGTATTCACAAAAAAAAATTTTTTTTTGTTTGCTATAGCTGAAATAAATGTTGGTGGCAATAATATGAGACGATAAGAGTAAAAAAATTTTTGCTGTCAAGTTTTAGTGAACTGACCAAAGAATGAAGAGGTAAAGCATAGGTGAACATAACAGATAATTGTGTATTAACTACATAAATATAAACTTTTTTTGTTTTTTTTT